TCATAAATTTAAAATATAATGAAAAGAAAACAATTAAAATTAATTTTTTAAGTGTGTTTTAAGCAATTTTTTAAAAATATATATATCTAAAATTTTAATTTTTCAAAATTTAATTAATATTCACTTTAAAAAATAATTTTAAAATTTTTCTCTAACAAAATTTTAAACTCATGAATGGTACTCTCAGACAAATATTTTTTAACATTTACTAAACACCTTTAATATATTTGAAAAGAGTCTTTTAAGAAAAAACAAATTTCAAATGCTTGCACTAACGGGAGTAGTTGAGTGACCACGAAGCAAACTTTTTTTATTGTGACCTTCATATAATATTAAAATAGATCAGTGGATCATCATTAACCATAGAATATGCGTAACAACATAATCTTTTGTTTAGTTAGGAATTGATTCTAAGAGAGCAATTATAAGAAAATATTATTAATTAACTAATGGGACTAATTGTCATTGAGTAACATTGAAAAAGAGCTTTTAGACATTATAAAAAATAACAAGTAAAGCCAAAGCTAACAACAGGTCTTTCCCAAACCGCGTCGATATTAGTTGGGAAGCAATTCAAATTAATTATTTATGGTTATCAAGACTTTGACCAATCCAAGATAGGCATGTATATGTGTTTGGTCCCACCTTGAAATCTTTACAAAATAGACCAAAAGGGCTCACCTTTTAGCATATAAATACAATTATCTATCCTAATAAGAGCAAAAAAATAAAATAAAATAAAATCATACCACTAACTCTTCGTTGTTGTCGTGACAAAACTTTGCTCATTCGTCAATTATATGCTATTTCTCAACTCAGAAAGTGAATTTATGTGATCTTTCTCCTAAAGAACTCACTTGACTATTTCTTCTGAGAAATATGAAGCATATTAAAGAAGAACCTTTTGATTGGTAGTTTTATCAATCTTCACAATATGAAGCTTTGGTCTCTCCCTATCCCAACGTATCATCTAGTTAAACAACATTTGTAGAAATTTTAGCAAAACTTTAAATTTGTTTAGGGAGCCTACGGAAATTGAAAGGAAAAAAAGAGAGGCAAAAACACATTAATATATAATGAATGCAAAAAAAAAAAAAAAAACAACAACAAGAAGAGGCAACTTGTTGTAAAATTTGAATTCAATGATAAAAAAAATATTCATTAACACTTGACAACAAACAACAATGGAAAGTCATGTTGAGAAGTTTCAAAAATAAAAGCAATATTTATGTTTCTACTTATTTCAGTCTGTCAAAAATATTGTAGCTCATCTCACTGTAGACAATAAAAAGTAAAGAAAAAGAATCATGTGAATATCTTTTCTCTAGAAAGGAAAAAATGCAAAGATCAACCTATAGATGTTATTGAAGCAAAATAAAAGTTCAAACTTCAAAGGTCTATTCGACCTTTTAGAGGCAAGACTACATTGATTTTACATTTGTAACATGAGTAAAGAAACAAAAAACTGCATAACTGTGTAAAAAAATAAAAAATGGTTGTTTTTCTCTGCATAACCTAGAGTAATATTTAATTATTTATTCTTTCATCATGGATAAACAATTATCCACTTCGGTAATAATATTGAAGATTATTTCAAAAAATTCTTAGAAGATTAGTAAGCCATGAAATTAGATGTAAAATTGATGTAATAAATGATAGACATTGAGTAGGATTAAGGATTCATATCA